TGAAAATGATGCTTAAAATTGTTGATTGGCTTTAGTTATCAAGATATGCTACTGGGTCAGTATATATACGACCTTTGACTTGGAAATGGCAGAGGATAGGTGAGTTATAAAGGGAAGGGATCTCAATTTGAACCAGAAATTATTAGAATACATCTTTGAATGGATCTATGAAAAAATCTGTGACTGGGTTTGGACAGTACAGTACTTGCTTTTTGAGCAAAACAATCTGAACCTGGTATTGTATCATACATGATATTAATTGCATCATGTTATTCCTAGAAGTCATGGATGATGCAATCATAACTAGGCTTACACCCCTCTGCTGAACAAATTGTCCTATATCAGCTCTAGAAATCATACAGTGCCGTGCTCTCTTATTTGTCAGTGTTTGATTTTGCAAAAATACATTTTTGTTTAGCCAAAGAGATGCCTCATTCTTGTGTGCACAAAGCAGATAACTTCTGCTATGGTTGTGGTGAAGTGACTTTTGCATCACAAAAGCGAAGTATAACCACTATGGTTAAGAAAGCATATCACCTTTATTTTGGCTGCAAAATTGAAGATCAGGACAAGATGTGGGCCCCACACATACTGTATGCTGCAACACTTACGCAACAAATCTTCGCCAGTGGTTGAACAGGAAAAGGAAATATATGCCTTTTGCAGTGCCAATGATATGGACAGAGCCAACAGATCATATCAGCAATTGTTACTTCTGCATGGCGAATCCAATTGGGAAAGGTGTGTCCAAAGAAGAAAAAGTAGACCGAGAATGTTTGTATAATGCAATCAGCTATATGCCCAGTACCCCACGGAAAAGGACTGCTGGTTCCTGATGCACCAGAATAATTATCACTTGAGTCAGATGAGGAAGAGGATGAAACTGCTGGTCCTGAACTATCAATGTCACGTGACCCAGATGTTCTCCCATCCTCCTCTGAACCAACAACAAAATTCAAGAACTACTCAACGATGGCAGCTATACAAAAATAAAAAGAGACCCCACCAACAGCCTCGTCATTAAAACCAACAAAATCATTTCTGATTCAACCGCATTAATTGATCAAACCAAACAGTTCTCGTTGAAACCTTCTGCAGCCAGGCCACCAAGATTATATGGCTTGCCAAAGATACATAAAGAAGATACATCCCTTCGTCCCATTGTCTCTACTATCAACTCCTCCACGTATAAACTGGCTCGTTTTTTGTCTGAAATCCTGCGGCCTTTCACTGGAAAAACCACCTCTGCAGTACTAAACTCTACTGACCTTGGTATCGACAATCAAGGGAATTTCCCTGTCCCCAGACGACCTGCTTGTCAGTTTTGATGTGGTTTCCTTATTCACCAAAGTTCCTGTACCTGACACCATCGCAATCATTGAAGACTTGGTTCATCAAGGACTGAATACTGAGGTACCCCCCCCTGGTGAGACACTGCTTAACCAATACATACTTCACCTGGAATAGAACTTTCTACAAACAAACTGAGGGCACCCCAATGGGCTCCCCCCCTATCTCCGGTTGTAGCCAACGTTTTCATGGAGAAATTTGAGACTGACGCCATCCAGACTGCCACTCTACGCCCAACCTTATGGAAGAGGTACGTAGATGACACTTTTGTCATCTGGCCACATGGCCGGCCTGCTCTAGACCAATTCCTCGACCACATCAATTCCATACACCCAGCCATCAGATTCACCATGGAAGTCGAAAGAGATGGCAAGCTACCCTTTTTGGATGTCCTAATTAAAAGGAGACCTAATGGTTCAATGAGCCACTCTGTCTACAGGAAAGCCACCCATACGGATGCTTACCTAAAACCGGATTCCCACCACCATCCATCCCAGAAGAATTCCCTCATCAAGACTCTACACCATAGAGCCCAATGCATCTCCGACCAGGAACACATTGCCAGTAAACTCAAGCACGTACGCCAAGCTCTTAAGGCTAATGGTTACTCCGACTACACAATCCGCAAAGCCATCACTCCAACCATCAAGAAGGATCCTGTTGAGGAGCCTTTCAAAACCATCACCTTACCCTACATTGCTGGGGTCACAAAAAAGATCTCCAAAATCCTGAAAAAACACAAGATCCAGGTCCGATTCAACACAGTACATAAAATCCGTGATCTGGTCCCGTCTGTAAAATATGTGGTTCCAGACATACAGTACCCTGGCGTCTACAAACTAAGTTGCCTCTGTGGTAGCAGTTACATTGGAGAAACCAAACGACATGTCTCGGACCGCATCCGTGAACATAAAGCAGACCTGAAACACGGTAGGACAAACACCTCAGCCGTGGCAGATCACTGTTACAATTCAGTGGGCTCACATGACATTGACTTCTCCAAGACAGAGGTTCTCTGCAAGCCATCTGACTACCATGAGAGATTCGTTCATGAGGCGATCCACATATACATATACAAACACAGAGACAATTTCAATCGAGAAGATGGATTCTGGCTCAGCAATCATTGGAATGACATAATAAACCATTTCGGATCTTAACTGATTGTGTTCACGTTTACGGTGACTTTCAGACCGCAGTCCACTCACTGGCATTGACTATATATCTTGTATTCTCCACAGGGAATGGATTATTTACTCCGCTGCAAGTCTCCTACCACCACTCTCCCATTGACTTATTTCGTTGCTTCCTCTTAGTACCTTTCACGCGACGGTCAATGGTATTGTATAGCAGACTGTATAATAATAAATAGTATAAAAGTGTAATGTTTAATATAATGTATAAGGTAATATATAGTATCGTAATTGTATAGTGAATATACAGCAGTGTGGTATACAGTAGGGTGGGTAGAATAATACATAGTGTAATATTACAATGTATAGTTTAAGGTATAAGGTGGTGTATAGTAATACAGTATATAATTTAATGTTGGGTTTGTCTATGGCAGTATATAGTACGGGGTAGACCCGTGTGATGTAAGAGAAAAAAGTTTAGCTGGAGGCATATTATATTTTTGCGACATAGAATTGTAATGTATGACTTACTGTTAGTAGCTCAGCTTATTGGAGAGTATATTTAGTATATTGATGATACTGATGTAGTTTATATTTTAGTTTTTTACGTGGTGGTTTAGTTGCTGCCGCTCCATACTATTAAAATTCCTTTCCTTTATTAATGCTAACTCTACTCTCTCCCTTTGATGCTGCTAATCCTGTATAATGCACGGGCATAATGACTTTGAAACCCCCCGCCCACCTCCTACGCATTTCACAAGTAGTGACTAATCCCATATCTGCATTTCTCATAAATATGCTAAATTCCTTTGTCAAGGCGCTCTTCCCCCTCCAACCCAGCTTAAATATACGCTTCCAAGCCTGGTGGTGTTCATTCAGACGCTGTCTTCCCGACAGACCTGTTCTTCACCTGAGGACGGCTGCTTGTGTTGTCCCAGAAACGCCGTGAGAATTATTTTATTATGTTTTATTTTTATTATTTTATTATTTCCCTTCTACGTGACTTTACCGAAAGAACCAAGAAAATGAATCCCTGCAGTCACGAAAGCTTTAAATCGAAACTCATAACACAAGTTGAATTGAAAGACCTTGTCAGGGATTTTGAAATATCCAACAGTAAGGCAGAGCTGTTGGGCTCCAGACAGCAGCAGTGGAATCTCCTGGCAGGTGCTGTTAGGTTTCCATGTTTCATGACCATCAAAAGGATCATGTCCCATTCTTCTTCATGGAAGGTGATCTTGTAGCCTGCAACAACATCGATGGTCCAAGCGGTGACGCAGCCTCACAACAGTGCATTCCTCGCTTGTTGCAGACTCCCAGGGTTCGAAATCAGCGGCCATCCTAGTTCTTACCCGCAGGGCATTTGAAACCAAAAATATACACGTGCTGTCTGATCACAGTGGATGTTAAACACCCCTCGCGACGTCATTCACAAGAGTAGGCCATTGTGTGCCGACGTCCCGGTCCAAATTCGTCAATTTCGAAAAATAACCTGCACATTATTCGATTGTAATATACAGTACATAGACAATCATTGCCCCGCTACTAAGAAAACTTGACAGAACTGTCCTCAAAAAGAGGCATGTCACTCAGTGAGCCTCTCTTGACTAAATAAGCCTTGTAATAAAAACAAACTGGCATCCCATAACTCGTTGGAATTCAGGGCTGTGTTTTTGAAAAAAAAAAGAAAATTGCCAACCAAATAGCTAAATGTATATTTTAGCCCAGACACTACTTGCCAAATGGAAATCAAGCAATTCCCATAACATTTCATTAGCATCATGAAAACAACCCGATTGTAAGTTATGCACTATTGTCCACATTTAAATTGAGCTAAAGTTATGCTGAATTAGAAATGAAAACTTGACTTGGATTTCTCTCCGCAAGCAGTGTGAAACATCATCCCATGTGAACAAACAGTGTACATATAGTATCCTCCAGGATTCCCATGTTCTTTCCTAACGCCATCACCCATTGGGTTTTAGATCAAGAGCTTTTCATAAATTATAATGATTAAAGTTGCTGCTAAGCCTTTGCAAGTCACAACCGTCATGCATTGAAGGCGTTTGACCTACCCTGGGGCAAGTGTATGCCATAATGCTGCATTATGTTCTAATGATGTTTTAAATAATTTATTTTCATTTACAGAAATGTTATCATGCTAGCACTGCATCACAACACTAGAACGGCGTGTTGAGATCATGCCAAAGCGCAGTATATATTGTGCTGTTTCTGCAAAAAAGGCTGCATGTAACACTGAAACATATGTACAAGGATATGATTGAATAGGGGAAATCGTCCTCATAAAAATCAATAGGTTAATCGCATGTAATGTCAATAATTTGGCATTGACATGTCTTTGTGGATAACTAACTAGGCTGGCTGTGTTTTTGCAGGGAGGGCACAAACTCAATCCAGCTAAACTTTATTGCTTGCTGTTGGTTTAACATATATCTTCCACAGCTACGAAAGAAATGCAAATTAACTTGCAATATTGCATATTCTTTGTTTATTAAGTTGCAGTCAAACATCCTGGCAACGACGATCGTGAGACAATGCCACGTCCCTTCAACAAACGCAAAGGTGAGTGATTGCTATTCAGTGTACTCTTTTACACGTGAAAATTGTACCCATCTTAAAACGTCTATCTGTTCATTGTTTTTGCAAGTATTTTTGGTTTTGGTTGTGGGTTTTTTTTCCACACCGTGCTCTATTTGGTTATATGTGGATTGTTGTTGCACTGATTACCTTAATTAAGTGTGTGAATACTATACTTAGTCATGAATTGTAAATAATGCCTTGCATTTCTATCTATGTAGTTTTATTCCCTGCTCATGTTAAAACCCCAGTAGCCAGGTAAAGAGCCTAAATCATAGCTTTTGGTCCTTTGAAATGTGTTTTTATTTACGCCTTTTAGCTGAATGAGAACATATACCAGTTTTTGACCCTGACAGAATAATAATGTATTTAATGTAATTGTGGGAAGACATGGGTTAAACCAGGCAAATCTTTCAATTTAACAAAACATCAAATTCCTCTTAATCTGCTGATCTTAAATATATTTTAAGTTTTAAAAGCCGTTAAAAGTACCCTCGATTACCTCAGCATTAAATTACATAATTGTTTGACGAGAGGCAAGGAAGCGAGATTTATAGAGTAGATGCTAGAAGCCATTTCTATTGGATTATAATTCCCCCATGTAATTCCCTTCAAGTTTTGATATGTACAGTGATTACCGTTTGATAAGGGATTCCGATCCATCAACCCAGAATTATGGCTGTCCCTCAATTTACATCTCCAGTATAGAATTATCTGGATGTGCCATTCTTGGAATGGAACCTAGAAGCACTGGAAATTAACTAAATATATATTTTGTAACAACAATAAAACATGGATGCTTTATTTAAAGAGTATTATCTTTCAGTGATTAGTTTGGGATGACATGGTAGCAGAATGCTTTACCCACATTAGAAGCATTCTAAGTACAAATTCCAGTCAGGGTCAACTCAATCCATCATCCCTCAGGAGTTGATAAAATTATGGCACTGAAGTTGTGTTTGTCATTCGTGTAATGGTTATATTGTGATTTTTTTTTCTTGTGACAGACAAGATTTGGATACATCCCCCTGAAGTCCTCATACTGGGCTCTGTCCTCTATACTGTTAAGGTACACATTCAAACCTGCCAGGAACTACCATAGTACAATGAATCCATATCCATGTATATTATATGGTATAACTTACACTGATAATAAAATAATTGCTGAACGTGGCACAAATGTAGATACTGAGATAACAGGAATGCAGCAATTCATTGATCCACCAATACATACATACATTTGTGACACTAACAATGTATCATTTATGCTTCATGCTTGCTGATTATAAGGTGTAGGTGTACCTTTGGCAAACAAAATTAATACAACAGAACAAGCAAGACACAAAAAAGAAAGCAAAATAAATAAGAGTACAACAATGTAAAAATATATTGAGTCTTGAATCAAATTGGAACACATAATTCATGGCATTTCATTGAATCACCAGGTTGTAAATTGTTGCATGCCTATTAGATGCCGATGGTTTTAGATGGGCAACATTACTCAAAATCATAACAAAATACGAAGATAAAGCCATGTAGATAGAAAAATAATAAAAATATCACGACATTTCGATCGCAACACAAGCAATCGTCATCAGGTGAAATAATATAGTGGGGGAGCTGCTGAGGTAGGATGTTATAAATGTTTGAGATGGGTGTAGCCCAAGGGTCATAAGCGAAGTGGGCGGGGCTAGAGATTGCATTTGCATGTAAATGTAAGATCGGAGAGCTGGGCTGCCTCCACGACGATGAAGCTGTGGAGGTGGCCATTGTATTCCTGCAGTCACGAAAGCTTTAAGTCAAGAGAAAATACGAATAAGTCAATTTTATTGTAATTGTGTGGAATTAGTGCATTCAAACCTCGTTTATTCCAGCCAATTGGCTTCTGACAATTTTTTTTGTAAATTGTACTAACATGAAATAAGTTTTGAACATGATAATTGGTTCTTTACCCTTCTATCTGGCAACAAAACTGACACCTTTTTGCAAGGAGTCATGTTTGCATAGACCGCAATACCTGCAGTCATAATACAAACAAAAGAACATAACTCTGATAATGTGCACTGTCCTTGAAGTTGATTGGTCCACACCCGAGACAGCTTTCCTTCGAGCCTAGTCTCATATGGGTTGGACCAGATGACGCCAAAAGGCGCACAACTCAAGGACAATGCACCATCAGAGTATGAGAGCTCGGGGCAAGCATCTACACTATGGGGACCTCATTTGCCAGTAAAAATATGATAATTGGTTCTTTACCCTTCTATCTGGCAACAAAACTGACACCTTTTTGCAAGGAGTCATGTTTGCATAGACCGCAATACCTGCAGTCATAATACAAACAAAAGAACATAACTCTGATAATGTGCACTGTCCTTGAAGTTGATTGGTCCACACCCGAGACAGCTTTCCTTCGAGCCTAGTCTCATATGGGTTGGACCAGATGACGCCAAAAGGCGCACAACTCAAGGACAATGTACCATCAGAGTATGAGAGCTCGGGGCAAGCATCTACACTATGGGGACCTCATTTGCCAGTAAAAATATGATAATTGGTTCTTTACCCTTCTATCTGGCAACAAAACTGACACCTTTTTGCAAGGAGTCATGTTTGCATAGACCGCAATACCTGCAGTCATAATACAAACAAAAGAACATAACTCTGATAATGTGCACTGTCCTTGAAGTTGATTGGTCCACACCCGAGACAGCTTTCCTTCGAGCCTAGTCTCATATGGGTTGGACCAGGTGACACCAAAAGGCGCACAACTCAAGGACAATGCACCATCAGAGTATGAGAGCTCGGGGCAAGCATCTACACTATGGGGACCTCATTTGCCAGTAAAAATATGATAATTGGTTCTTTACCCTTCTATCTGGCAACAAAACTGACACCTTTTTGCAAGGAGTCATGTTAGATGCTTGCCCCGAGCTCTCATACTCTGATGGTGCATTGTCCTTGAGTTGTGCGCCTTTTGGCGTCATCTGGTCCAACCCATATGAGACTAGGCTCGAAGGAAAGCTGTCTCGGGTGTGGACCAATCAACTTCAAGGACAGTGCACATTATCAGAGTTATGTTCTTTTGTTTGTATTATGACTGCAGGTATTGCGGTCTATGCAAACATGACTCCTTGCAAAAAGGTGTCAGTTTTGTTGCCAGATAGAAGGGTAAAGAACCAATTATCATATTTTTACTGGCAAATGAGGTCCCCATAGTGTAGATGCTTGCCCCGAGCTCTCATACTCTGATGGTGCATTGTCCTTGAGTTGTGCGCCTTTTGGCGTCATCTGGTCCAACCCATATGAGACTAGGCTCGAAGGAAAGCTGTCTCGGGTGTGGACCAATCAACTTCAAGGACAGTGCACATTATCAGAGTTATGTTCTTTTGTTTGTATTATGACTGCAGGTATTGCGGTCTATGCAAACATGACTCCTTGCAAAAAGGTGTCAGTTTTGTTGCCAGATAGAAGAGTAAAGAACCAATTATCATATTTTTACTGGCAAATGAGGTCCCCATAGTGTAGATGCTTGCCCCGAGCTCTCATACTCTGATGGTGCATTGTCCTTGAGTTGTGCGCCTTTTGGCGTCATCTGGTCCAACCCATATGAGACTAGGCTCGAAGGAAAGCTGTCTCGGGTGTGGACCAATCAACTTCAAGGACAGTGCACATTATCAGAGTTATGTTCTTTTGTTTGTATTATGACTGCAGGTATTGCGGTCTATGCAAACATGACTCCTTGCAAAAAGGTGTCAGTTTTGTTGCCAGATAGAAGGGTAAAGAACCAATTATCATATTTTTACTGGCAAATGAGGTCCCCATAGTGTAGATGCTTGCCCCGAGCTCTCATACTCTGATGGTGCATTGTCCTTGAGTTGTGCGCCTTTTGGCGTCATCTGGTCCAACCCATATGAGACTAGGCTCGAAGGAAAGCTGTCTCGGGTGTGGACCAATCAACTTCAAGGACAGTGCACATTATCAGAGTTATGTTCTTTTGTTTGTATTATGACTGCAGGTATTGCGGTCTATGCAAACATGACTCCTTGCAAAAAGGTGTCAGTTTTGTTGCCAGATAGAAGGGTAAAGAACCAATTATCATATTTTTACTGGCAAATGAGGTCCCCATAGTGTAGATGCTTGCCCCGAGCTCTCATACTCTGATGGTGCATTGTCCTTGAGTTGTGCGCCTTTTGGCGTCATCTGGTCCAACCCATATGAGACTAGGCTCGAAGGAAAGCTGTCTCGGGTGTGGACCAATCAACTTCAAGGACAGTGCACATTATCAGAGTTATGTTCTTTTGTTTGTATTATGACTGCAGGTATTGCGGTCTATGCAAACATGACTCCTTGCAAAAAGGTGTCAGTTTTGTTGCCAGATAGAAGGGTAAAGAACCAATTATCATATTTTTACTGGCAAATGAGGTCCCCATAGTGTAGATGCTTGCCCCGAGCTCTCATACTCTGATGGTGCATTGTCCTTGAGTTGTGCGCCTTTTGGCGTCATCTGGTCCAACCCATATGAGACTAGGCTCGAAGGAAAGCTGTCTCGGGTGTGGACCAATCAACTTCAAGGACAGTGCACATTATCAGAGTTATGTTCTTTTGTTTGTATTATGACTGCAGGTATTGCGGTCTATGCAAACATGACTCCTTGCAAAAAGGTGTCAGTTTTGTTGCCAGATAGAAGGGTAAAGAACCAATTATCATATTTTTACTGGCAAATGAGGTCCCCATAGTGTAGATGCTTGCCCCGAGCTCTCATACTCTGATGGTGCATTGTCCTTGAGTTGTGCGCCTTTTGGCGTCATCTGGTCCAACCCATATGAGACTAGGCTCGAAGGAAAGCTGTCTCGGGTGTGGACCAATCAACTTCAAGGACAGTGCACATTATCAGAGTTATGTTCTTTTGTTTGTATTATGACTGCAGGTATTGCGGTCTATGCAAACATGACTCCTTGCAAAAAGGTGTCAGTTTTGTTGCCAGATAGAAGGGTAAAGAACCAATTATCATATTTTTACTGGCAAATGAGGTCCCCATAGTGTAGATGCTTGCCCCGAGCTCTCATACTCTGATGGTGCATTGTCCTTGAGTTGTGCGCCTTTTGGCGTCATCTGGTCCAACCCATATGAGACTAGGCTCGAAGGAAAGCTGTCTCGGGTGTGGACCAATCAACTTCAAGGACAGTGCACATTATCAGAGTTATGTTCTTTTGTTTGTATTATGACTGCAGGTATTGCGGTCTATGCAAACATGACTCCTTGCAAAAAAGTGTCAGTTTTGTTGCCAGATAGAAGGGTAAAGAACCAATTATCATATTTTTACTGGCAAATGAGGTCCCCATAGTGTAGATGCTTGCCCCGAGCTCTCATACTCTGATGGTGCATTGTCCTTGAGTTGTGCGCCTTTTGGCGTCATCTGGTCCAACCCATATGAGACTAGGCTCGAAGGAAAGCTGTCTCGGGTGTGGACCAATCAACTTCAAGGACAGTGCACATTATCAGAGTTATGTTCTTTTGTTTGTATTATGACTGCAGGTATTGCGGTCTATGCAAACATGACTCCTTGCAAAAAGGTGTCAGTTTTGTTGCCAGATAGAAGGGTAAAGAACCAATTATCATATTTTTACTGGCAAATGAGGTCCCCATAGTGAAGTTTTGAACAGTCGAGGGTTTATTGTGTAACAATATAAAATTCAAATGCAAGCATGCAGGCATACACATCTCTTACTGATTTTCGGATAATGCAAAAGTAACACTTATCATAATGATCAGTAAGACAGTGACACTAAAGTATATACCTAAATATTGGCAATGGTGGCTTTAGCAATAATAATACTGATATAATTTACTGCAGCTAATTTTTTACACATTCATATTTTCTCTACTTATTGTACAGTTGGCCTGTGAGAATACTGTTGCCATGTGATTGTGGAATTTCAAACGTTGCCTCATGACTACGAATAAACATGACCACTGCCTCATGTAGTTAATTATTTTAATTGTGATATATATTCTTAGGTTTTTTCGGTAAAGTCACGTAGGTAAAACATCAAAATTAATAAAAATAAAATAAAACAAAAATCACGACGTTTCGGAGGCAACACAAGTCTCCGTCATCAGGTGGGACCGTCACAGCCGGATTAGCTGCATCGCCTCACTTGATGCAGCTAATCCGGCTGTGACGGTCCCACCTGATGACGGAGACTTGTGTTGCCTCCGAAACGTCGTGATTTTTGTTTTATTTTATTTTTATTAATTTTGATGTTTTACCTACGTGACTTTACCGAAAAAACCTAAGAATATGAATCCTTGCAGTCACGAAAGCTTCAAATCTAGAATTAATTGTGATATGTAAATATCGCATTAACATTAGTACAGAATGTGAATACAGTGGCATACATAACTCACAAATTTCACTGATTACTACTGCACTTTATTACAATAACCATTGCATCTATCTCGGCCTCGCTGGGTGTCGCGTTGCACCACTATACGAGTAGATAACCTCGCATTCAACATCCGACTCCAAACGTATTTAATGAATTGAACGAGGTAAAACTGATGGAAAAACACAGCACAAAATACAGCATCTATTAATACTTGAAATATCAATACAATGAACGAACATGACATCATCATAACATTGTCTTAGATAACATGAAACTCAATAATAGATCCTGGATGGACCAGGCACCTACATTAGTACTGGATAGCTATACAAGAGAATAAGCTACTGTGTTAAGGGCACATCGTGTAATCACCATACTGCAGCCTAAATGTACAGTACTACGCATAACACTGAATTGTGGATGAGATATTTTGTCATCCTTGCTCTCAAGATCGTAATAAGGTTACATGGGTGCAAGTCTGACTTGACGTATTCAATTACAAGTAACATTCACAATAATGCCAGTGGCAGGCTTCGTTGTTAACTAGGCCTCATATTTATCATCACAATTTAACATTATAAAGGCATTTACAGCATTATAACGGCCATCCTAACATTATAACAGCATTTCCAGTATTATAAGAACATAGACGAACTTACAGACAATGCTTCTTAAATTCTCACAATGAAAATATGCACCTGTCTTCTCTGAGACGCTATTTGTGCCTCCATTTTGTACTCTGTGTAATGGCTGACACCCTGCCACGTGGCTGAGAGAATGTCAAATCGTAACTTCCTGGTCACGTGACCAAACTCAACATCAATACAGGAAGTTCCTGTGTACGCACACCCACACCTGCCGTGAGGCAGAACAGCATCCACCTACACGTATGTCACTGAATTTATGAAAGATTTTACTTTTTACTTTTGTTTCCGTCAATATTACAGGCATTTACAGTGCTTGAAGTAAAATCTACAATGAACATTGTACGTATGTATATAGCATGAGGATAAAGAGAACAGAAGAAGTACGCAGTGACTGTTGGTCAAATACAGCAGGTTAAGTATTTGCCTGTAGAATAACACCCACCATACAAGTCTACTTCTTCGGGTGTGACATTCATTCAAGTTGTCGGTACAAATTTCAATGGTATTACCTTAAATAAAGACATTCGATGAACAATGGTTATTATTGTCATGAGGACTCCCACATTTCCAGCATACTACCATGAGAGCAAGACTTTTTATATTCATGTGGGCGATGAATGCTTGAGTAATATTGTTATTGCCAGATTCATTCAAGTCTTAAGTAAACCATGCTGAACAAGGTTAAAATGTAATATACAAAAGCATTTTTGCAAAAAACTGATATATATACATATTTCTTATGGGAAAAATTCGTTTGGTATATGTCATTTTTGGTATAATTCCTACCTTCTGGAACAAATTAACTACGTATACCGAGGTACCACTGTATTTTAAATGTCTGGTTGAATAACAAGGATATTTTAAATATATTTAACAGAATTCAGTTGTTTTGTAACGTGGAAATAATGCACGTTAATTTAAAACTACATTTTACTGGGTTGCAGATTATTTTTGATTTGCGTATTCATTGTGCACAATTTTATTTGTGTGTGAGATATACACCACTTTTTCTAGATTTGAAGTTTTCGTGACTGCAAGGATCCATACTCTTTGGTTCTTTCGGTATAGTCACGTAGGTGAAAAAAATAAAAAAATAAAATCACAACGTTTCGATTGCAACACAGGCAATCATCATCAGGTGTGACAACCACAGCAAGAATTTTTTTTGTTACAGCACTACCATTAGCATTGCCAGCCAGACCGTATGGAGGAAGGGCAATTGTCTAAACACCGTAGACAGTGCAAGCAATTTTGCTATTACATGAGGTGGAACATAATCGATAGAATCTCCTGCACTTTGACCCCAGCCTTTTCTCCCGGACCATTTCATAAATTTTATTTTTTAATGGTGCCACCTTCACAGAGTAATTTTTTCAATAAAGCAGATCCTTGCCAATTTAATATTGCATGATATAAGTCAACTGTATCTGACAAAATATAGAAATTGTACTTGTTTATTAAAGTATGTTCATGTATTTGGATAAATTATCAAAAAAGCATACATTTCTTTAAATAAGAAATAGAAAACTTGCAATCTGCTTTGCATGTGGAACTTTTAAGGTGTAGTTGTTTAATTTTAAGATTGTGGTTATGAAAAATTAATAAATTTTCAGAGGAATATACAGTGATTCTTAAAATATATGACTTTAATAAATTGGGAAGGAAGGTCTGCTAGCCAAAGATTATACAAATTAATTAATTCTAATTAATTTGTCAACAGTTCATTTTATTCATTGATATTTGTTTAACTTATTAAATTAGCATATATAGAAGCCAATCATCTTTACACGACATCAACATACAGCATATCTGGTATACACATACCAGGATAAAACATTTCCCAGAACATTATAGATATTTTAATATTTCAACCTCATAGTTTTTTCCCACTAAAGCCACCCATTCAATTTAATATGACTATTTACTTTCCAAACATGTTTTGCTCTCTAGTATAATATACAAGACTACATGTGGCATTGTGGTTCACGCACTGGCATATGAACATTGTCATGCACAACATGAATGGTAATTGTCTCAATGTACAAATATATATCATTATATGTAGCAGAGTATATATTCCACGTAGAAAAGTATAATTGTACACAGTATAGTACAGGGCACTTGGAAATAGTATCGCTGTTGCAAAGCCTCAGTCCATGAGCCCAGACCAGATATTGGACTTGCCAGTTCCACCTGAGGTGGCATGACTTTAGTAGGCCCATTTGCCTGATATGGCCAACAACAGTCCATTATGTGATAACCATTTGCAATGACTGGGTTATGCAATAATTCACTCTCAAAAGCCATGTAAATAAATCTGTAGTGCTAAAGTTCGGCTACCTGAGGTGGTAGCACCTGAGGTTATTCACAAGGTTGGCTATGTACCTCCGATTACCATCATTGGCTATGTACCGTGCAAAATAAGTTAAATGTACATACTCGGGCTGAACGATTGATCGATTTCAAATCGAAATTGTAATTTGAAACAATGTGATTAGCAAATCGCAAAGGTTGAGACTTTTTGTGATTTTTTTTAAGTTGGAATTGTTTACATTTTGTTATGTTATGTTGAGTTGGTGAAATAAATAGTATTGCTCCCAAGACAACATCTGCAACTCACTTGGACTGACTACACATCCATTCTCAGCTATATCTGTTCTGACCAATTGACAAATAAGGGTCTTTGCACTGCTCCTGCAAGAAATTTACAATATAATTTTACACATCAACATGCAAATAAAATTGCATATACTTCAGCATTAAATGCAACTATTCCAAGGAGCTGTTTCAAAATACAAATGCCACCATTACATGCAGCCGTTTCTAAATACATTTTAATGACAGCTAATTTTAAAAACATTGCCTTATTTGTGCTCAACTACAAAAATCATTCTACCTTATTATTTCATTGCCTCAGTTTGTTGTCCTTGGTAAAAATATAATAAGTTGCCTATTATAAACGGAAAGGTTTAACCCTGATGTTATTGGCTGTATTCCCAGTTCCTTGGGAGCCGTGAAGTTGATCAGCCCAAGGGGTCAGATATAGTGAAGGATGCCGTCAACAAACTTAAGGTGACTTTCAATTGTTAACCTTCCTCCTCCCCAAATTCTGAATTGCTCTTTTAGTCAAGTTATCAGTGTTAAAATTAGTCCCACAATTGGAATGTTGCGAATTCAAAAGCCAATTAGGAGTTGACCTTGGCCATCATGCTTTCTTGATTAATTCATCGAGTAAAACGTTGTGCGAAGTCAGCAGTGGTTGTCCCATGGAAAGGCTGGCCCTGAGACCCCACCATAGCAATGTGGAATTTCCACCACTGACTCTGGACTGCCAATGTGGATCAGTTTCACCCAATACTCATTATAGCATGGTGCGCCTTTTGAGTTTTGTTATGAGCAGATCACATTTAATGTGCAGTTTGTTGTTATTGTTTACTACATTTGGCAACTGTTGCACCTTTTAGGCTAGGTCCTCTCAATTTTCATGATGAGTAAACTGACATGAATGAGATGTCTATTGTAAAACGAAAATTTTATGGATTTGTCATGTTTGGCAGGGGAGTTCCCATGTATGTTACTGCATAAGATATGTGCTGTGCTAACTTTAAACTGTCCTACTTCTCATGCAGGTTATATTTACAGTATTGAACATTTTCCTCATGTTTAGTTTGATGTTTTTTTTGTGTGTGTATATCTACCTTCGTGAGTGCCAGTACTTTTTTATCCTGTATTTGTTCATGGATCACACGACAAAGAAAAATGAACAGCTTTGCCTTGCTCAAGGAATACGACGCATCATGTTCTTTTTTTTTTCGAATTCTTATCCCCGTTCCCTGCCCCCTGTCCCCCATGTATTTCCCCATTGTGTCGTGTCTCATCCATCGGACTCTGCACAATGAAAGAAAAATGAGTTCGATTCCGAAAATAAAATGAATACAATGTAATTGGCGAAAGTAGCTTTGCATTCAAAATGAAATTGGTGAAATAGTTGGTCGACTTTGGGACTGATGCCCATGTCATGGGTAAGGAGGCAGCATGCCTCTGAGATGGTAGGTCAAAGCCCTGAGACCGTGACGGATGAGTGGGGAACATGAACACAGCCACACTGATACAGATGTTTTGTGTGCAATACACCGAATGTAACGCAACAGCTCAAGCAATGATTCATATCGCCATTTGGAGTTCACGATCTGTGGATATGTCATCCTTTATATACACGCACGTATAAATGTCTGAAATATTCTGATGATAATGGAAATATAACAATAAAGCAATGTTTCGATTTAAAGCTTTCGTGACTGCAGGGATTCATCTTCTTGGTTCTTTCGGTAAAGTCACGTAGAATGGAAATAATAAAATAATAATAATAAAACATAATAAAATAATTCTCACGACGTTTCGGCCACAACGCAAGCAGCCGTCCTCAGGTGAAGAACAGGTCTGTCAGAAAGACAGCATCTGAATGAACACTTAGCAGCGTATATTTAAGCTGGATTGGAGGGGGAAGAGCGCCTTGACAAAGGAATTTGTATATCAAGAGGAATTTAGCATATTTATGGGAAATGCGGGTATGTGATTAGTACTACTTATGCCCGTGCATTATGCAGGATTAGCAGCATCAAAGGGAGGGGATAGGGGTAGCATTAATAAAGGGAAGGAGTGTTAATAGTATGTAGCTGCAGTAACTAAAACCACCACGTAAACAACTAAAGTATAAACTACATAGTATCATCAGTATACTAAATATACTCTACAATAAGCTGAGTTACTAACAGTGAGTAATACATTACAATTCTACGTCGTAAAAAATATAATATGCTTCCATCTAAACTTTATTCTCTTACATCACACGAGTCTACACCGTACTATATACTGCCACTAGCATAAGTACTCGGCGTTGCCCGGGTGAAAAATATATTTCTTAATAACCTTACATATATACACAGATGGGCTGCTACCCCTGCCCCCCCCCCCCCCCCAGCCACGATCTCCTCGGCCGCTGTGCAGTAATATGTACGGCCTATAGTGTGGTGGGGTGTCGAGGCCTAGTACCGTGCAGAGCCTCCGGCCTCGCCTAAATTGCCCACCCGGCTGAGGCTGGGTACGGGTGCCATTCCCCCCCCCCCTGCGCTACAATAATACTGTCTAATCGCTATTATTTTATTATCTACCGACCCTATAATAGTAATTGCACACATTGGGGTGGGGGGGGGAGTGAAGAGGACATGAAACTTTGATGAATTTACCTCAGAGTCGCGTGGTGGGTGTCGAGGCCTAGTACCATGCAGAGCCTCCGGCCTCGCCTAGATTGCCCACCCGGCTGAGGCTGGGTACCCCCCCCCCCCCCGCGCTACAATAATACTGTCTAATCGCTATAATTGTATTATCTACCGACCCTATAATAGTAATTGCACACATTGTGGTGGGGGGGGAGTGAAGAGGACGTGAAACTTTGATGAATTTACCTCAGAGTCGCGTGTTAATGCGTGCGCATATTTTTAACGGGAATTAAAAATGGCGTCCACCCGGCAGCGAATGCGTCGCTACCCATTGCCAGGGGCAACCGCCGTCCAATGAAACTGCGTATGGTCTGGCCACACAGACACACACACAGACAAACCGACAGACAGACATTCACGATTTTATATATATAGATAGACAACCCCAACATTAAATTATATACTGTATTGCTATAAACCACCCTAAACCTTATACATTGTAATATTACACTATGTATTATTCTACCCACCCTAATGTATATCACACTGCTGTATATTCACTATACAATTACGATACTATATATTACTTTGTACATTGTATTAAGCATATAAATTTTATACTATTTGTTATTATACACTGTACCATTGACCGTCGTGTGAAAGATACTAAGAGGAAGCAACGAAATATGTCAAGGGGAGAGTAGTGAGGAAACTTGCAGCGGAGCAAATAATCCATTCCCTGCAAAGAATACAATGCCAGTGAGTGGAACGCGGTCTGAAAGTCACCGTAAACGTGAACACAATCAGTTGAGATCCGAAATGGTTTATTACGTCCTTCCAATGATTGCTAAGCCAGAATCCATCTTCTCGGTTGAAATTGTCTCTGTGTTTGTATATGTGGATCGCCTCATGAACGAATCTCTCATGGTAGCCAGATGGCTGGCAGGGAACCTCTGTCTTGGAGAAGTCAATATCATGTGAGCCCACTGAATTGTAACAGTGATCTGCCACGGCTGAGGTGTTTGTCCTACCGTGTTTCAAGTCTGCTTTATGTTCACGGATGCGGTCCGAGACATGTCGTTTGGTTTCTCCAATGTAACTGCTACCACAGAGGAAACTTAGTTTGTAGACGCCAGGGCACTGTATGTCTGGAACCACATCTTTTACAGACGGGACCAGATCACGGATTTTATGTACTGTGTTGAATCGGACCTGGATTTTGGAGATCTTTTTTTGTGACCCCAGCAATGTAGGGTAAGGTGATGGTCTTGAAAGGCTCCTCAACAGTATCCTTCTTGATGGTTGGAGTGATGGCTTTGCGGATTGTGTAGTCGGAGTAACCATTAGCCTTAAGAGCTTGGCGTACGTGTTTGAGTTCACTGGCAATGTGTTCCTGGTCGGAGATGCATTGGGCTCTATGGTGTGCATAATGCACGGGCATAAGTAGTACTAATCACATACCTGCATTTTCCATATCCCCTCCCTTTGATGCTGCTAATCCTGCATAATGCACGGGCATAAGTAGTACTAATCACATACCTGCATTTCCATAAATATGCAAAATTTCTATTGATATGCAAATTCCTTTGTCAAGGCGCTCTTCCCCCTCCAACCCAGCTTAAATATATACTGCCAAGCCTGGTGGTGTTCATTCAGACGCTGTCTTTCTGACAGACCTGTTCTTCACCTGAGGACGGCTGCTTGCGTTGTGGCCGAAACGTCGTGAGAATTATTAATGTTTTATATTTATTATTTTATTATTTCCATTCTACGTGACTTTACCGAAAGAACCAAGAAGAAAAATAAAGCAATGGTACTATGAATGATAACATATACAGTGTTTCCTATTTCATGATATTGATTGACCATATAATACTATTAATCAGAGTTTGGGGAAGACTAGTGTGAAATATTACACCGCCTTTAATATAACCAGCAGATTAAATAAACCCATTGAGACACATGCAACATTGTCTCTTGCAAGGGCGACTTGGGTAATTAGTTATGCTACCATTGTGCGGAGCTTTGTAAGCTACGAAAATCCATTCGATATCAGTTAAAAATATATGCATTCATCCAAGGTCTCACAAGCCAAGGCATAAATAAAAAATAAATATTTTTTTTATCATAAAAAAATATTTACAAAAAGGGAACAGCCGCACGAAGATGACATGAAGAGAGTACAAATAAACATTATAAAAAGGGAGGCATAATCTCATGTACTTTGGCCGAAGTTATTCACAGCAACATTAGAAAATACTCTCTACAAATATAATTGGAGAAGCAATGGCATACATTTTAATGGAGAAACAATGAATAACTTAAGATTTTCGGATGAAATATTGATGATAATTTTCAAAGGAATATGGCAGAATATGTGATAACAACTTAATAAAGAAACCTACAAAGTTGAGCCAAGATGAATATGAGTAAAGCAAAGGTCATTTACAGGAAATAATGTTAAGGATTGGGAAACAGTAGAGCATGTGTATCTGGAACAGCAATTGAAGACGGCCTGGGATCAAAAGGATTACATAGAGATATACAAGAGAACAGGTTGGAGTAATTTTCGAATACTGAACTCGAAAAGAAAGAGTCGCAAAAACATGTGCCTCAAGAAGATTTGTTTTCATTAGTGTGTACTACCTGGTATGAGAACCATAAACACAGACCATTAAACAAGCACTGAAAAGTGCTCATCAAAGAAATGCGTTCTCAAAATTACACAGAAAGACAAATAGAGGAACACGTGAATTGGAGAAAATACATAGATTAAACGCATACAGGAATTCATACTGTTAAGAAAAACAAGTTGGCTTCCGCTGAGCAACAACAATGAGTGGTTTCACAGTC